TATTTTGGTATTATATAAAACAAATAATGAATGTTTTCATTCGTGCTATGATGAAAATATTTTCACTTAATTGGTGAACATTCATTATTAGTTTTTCATTAGCGCAATTCTTCATAGCGCGCATGAAAAAAGTCGTATCACATGTTATATGACGTCACACGTTGGACATGACGATTTGAGAGCATGACGTGAGTTTTCGAGCTCCTCGTTTTTATCAAATATATACCATATAAAGTCTGTATACCAATCAAGAATATAGGCTTATACTAGCCAAAAGCCTTGTATTTGCTTATGGATAACAAATTAAGCGATAAGTTAAGCTTCGCATGGACGGGTGACCTCGAATCATTAAAACTGTTTATAAGTGAAAATCTAAAATTGGAAGGAATTTGGTCGCAGCCCGCAAGTGACAAAAGGCTGTTCATGTTTGATGACTCATCTATTTTATGGAGAAAGAACAAGAACCTGTTGTACTTTAATGGTGGAAAAGCGAATGTCACTATGAAAGAACTGTGTAAGGAGATCTGTAAACTCGACGAAGACGAATCGCCTATCTCAGACACCCGGCAACCAAGCGTGCAATCGGCTGATGTTAGTGACGACCTTGAATGCATAAAAGTCGGCCAGAAAATGAATGCTGAAGCGATTCAAGTATTATCGGGATCCATTTCTCACTTAACGTCAGTAATCTCACAATTTCAAGAGTTTATGGATAAAAGTAAAAATAATCTTAGCAAATGCGATGAAATTCGGGCTAAGTCAAGTGTTAATGCAAATACGCCAGCTTTCGACAGCTCTATTGTCTCGAATGAATTCACAAACCCTATTGAGAACATTGGGCATGAAATAATTTCAGTGCTAAATGAGTCAACAGAGGATAACAACACGACCAGCGCTGAACAATTAACAAAAGACGGACATCAACCGACCTATGCAAATGTAGTGGCATCCCGTAATTGTAAAGATATCAATGAAAAGTCTGATACAGACAATATAAATACAACTGGTGATACTCCGCAACGTAAAATCAATAATAACATTGAGTCATCTTGCGACCCCGAGGGCTTTATTGGAGTCAATAGAAAGCGAAACAAAACAAAGAAATATTTCCTGTCTGGTGTAGCCAATAACGTTAAAGAAAGTCAAATCCTCTCGTATCTTGAGCGACGAAACATAATTCCAACATACATTTCCGCTTTCCCCAGTCGACGCAAAGGAACACTATCAGTTAAGATCCATGTCCCCTCAGCGGTCAGTTCACAAGTGCTAGAAGATAACTTTTGGCCCAAATTCGTTAGTTGTAAACCATGGCGACCGAAAGAAATTGTTAAGAATCCCACAGAACGGAAAACAAATTTGACCCTCGACGGGAACTACTCTACGTATGTATAATGGCCAACTTAATACCAGTTAGAATTTCCTCTCGTAGTCGTGTGTACAGATCAAAGCAAAACGGGCGAAATGGAAATAATTTAATATCATTGAGGCAGAGTATTCCCGCTGATACTCCCATCCTGGAAAGTGGCATCGGCAGCAGTTCAAACTCCAGTATTACTTCACATGTAGACAATAGGAATCTATTACCTGCTCAAAAGTCAGAATTTTCCCCAAGAATCTTATTGACTAACGTTATGTCCTTAGTCCCCAAGATTGACGAGTTACGTATTCTAACGTCTGAAAACAGTTTCGATTTAATTTTTGTTACTGAAACCTGGCTACGAGAATCCATTTGTGACAATCATGTGACCTTAACTGATTACCACCTCTTAAGGCGAGACCGCGTCTTCGGCACCCATGGCGGCGTTTGCGTGTACATAAAGAACACTATCATGTTTAAACGACTACCCGACATCGAACATCCAGACTTTGAGGTATTATGGACACATGTTAGGCCACCTAGATTACCAAGAGGAATAAACTGTATCGTTTCAGCATGTGTTTACCACACACCAAGTTCTAATAATGCAGATCTCTTTGAATATCTATCTGAATCTTTGACACGAATTGATAGTCTTTTCCCAGGGTGTGGCATCATCATTGCCGGTGACTTTAACCAGTTCGATACCAGAGACCTCTGTCGTGACTTTCAGTTAAGGCAATTGGTAAACAAACCAACGCGAGGCACCAATACCCTAGACCTCATACTTACGAACATGTACAAATTTTATGATACAAAATCAGCTATTGTATTGCCTCCTCTAGGTTTATCAGACCATAATGTAATAATTGTTGATCCCAAAACTAGAAGACCTGTTGGTATCTCAAGTAGAAGAACTGTCATCAAAAGAGACACTCGTCAGTCACGTAAGAATGAACTTGGTCGTTTCCTGTGTAACATCGACTGGCATATTGTAAACTCAACTATATCCTGCGATGATAAATGTAATTTTTTATGTTCTATCATTAAATCTGGTTATGATACTCTAATGCCAGAGAAGCAGGTAAAATTCCATCACAACGACACTCCTTGGATCACAGAAAAATTGAAACAACTGATAAAACTGAGACAACGTGCTTTTTCGTCTAATAACACTTCACTTTTTAAATTCTATCGGAATAGAGTGAACAGAATGAGGAAATCCTGTAGGGGAAAATATTTTGCTACCAGAGTTGCCAATCTAAAAGTCCAACCCGAAATCATGGTGGTCGGAAATTAAACGTATTTCAGGTATGAAACCAGTAACCAGCTGCCTGCTGAATCAACTTCATATCGAGGATACAGAACATCTAACACATAAAGGTTTCTCAGATTTAATCAACAATAGCCTATTAGAACCAATGAATTTTTACAGTCCATTAGATGCCTCAGACGTAGAAATCCTGTTCGAAGGAATCCCTGACGATCCACCAGATTTAGATATGAACCTGACTGATACTGAAATGGTGTTTAAAAAACTGAAACGCCTAAATCCATCCAAAGCCCCAGGTCCCGATGACATTCCAAACTGGATTCTTCGAGATTATGCCGAAATCCTTGCCCCCCCCCCCCTATATCAAACCTATTGAATTCCTCTTACAAACAAAAGAAGCTTCCCTTGTCGTGGTAACAGGCTAATATAACACCCATTCCAAAGGAGAAACCTGTTAAGGACATAAACAAACACCTTAGACCTATATCGTTAACCCCTGTCCTATCTAAGCTTGCGGAGGAATTTGTCGTGGAAAAATACTTCGCCCCAGCTGTGCTTACGGTAATAGATCCCTTTCAATTTGGTGGCATCCCTCGATCTTCTGCTACCAAAGCTTTAATTTCTATGATTCATTCTTGGTCTCAAGCCACTGATGGAACAGGTAATGCAGTAAGAGTGGTATTATTTGATTACAAAAAGGCTTTTGACCTGATTGACCACAAAATTCGAGCAAAAAAAGTCATCAATTTAGCTATGCCAACTTTCATCAAGCGATGGGTGGTCGACTTCCTCATGAACAGACAACAACGAGTGAAATTAGCAAGAGATTGTAAGTCCGAATGGATTGATATCCCTTCCGGTGTCCCTCAGGGAACCAAACTGGGACCCTGGATGTTTATTCTTATGATAAATGACCTCCGCACTCCTCATTTCGAGCGTTGGAAATACATTGACGATACTACTGCATCAGAAATTATTCATAGAGACTCATCCAGTAATATTCAAGATGCAGTCGATTGCGTTCAAAACTGGTCGGTAGAAAATAAGATGCAACTAAATACCTCGAAGTGCAAGGAAATCGTAATCAGTTTCACTAAAGTTGAGAAAGAATTCCCTCGCCTAAAGATTAACTCAGGTCATATCGAAGTAGTCAAGCATGCCAGAATCTTAGGACTGACAATAACCAGTGATCTAAAGTGGAACCAACATATCAACAACATTATTAAGAAAGCCAACAAACGTATCTATTTTATCATTCAATTGAAACAGGCCCACGTCCCTGAAACTGATGTTTTAAACTTCTACACCACCTGCATCAGACCAGTTATGGAATTTAGCTGCCAAGTATTCCACTTTGCTCTACCCTCTTATTTGTCAAACTCCCTGGAACGGATTCAAGCGTGTTCTATCCATAATCTATCCACAGATGAGTTATACGGATAGCTTATCTAAATGTGGCATCAAAACTCTGAGTGACAGGCGTGTCGATGCATGCGAGAAACTTTTTACTGAAATCAGCACAACACCTGAGGCTAACATGCACAATATCATACCACCTAGATGCCTTTCAAGTTACAATCTGAGACATTCAAGAACTTTTGTCCTTCCAAAAACCAAGACAAATAGATTTAAAAACACTTTTATACCCTCATGCGTTAGACATTTTAATGATAAAATATAATTTCTAGATCTTTTTAACTATTATATTAGCGTAATTTTATCCTACAATTATGTATTTTAAAAATTTATGTGTAAATAGAGTAAAAATTAATTAACTATTTTTATTAATCCATGTAAATTATAGCACGCAATTCAGCCTTATTGGCTGCCATGTGTTATCGTAATTAAATCTATCTATCTATCTATCTATCTATCTATCTATCTATCTATCTATCTATCTATCTATCTATCTATGGCTATTAGTCAATCACAGTCTGTGAATTATTTTAAATAAATAATAAAGGTGATATATACGACTTTTTTCTTGCACGCTATACGTCATAACGTGTGATAAATAGTCGTATCCCACGTTTGACGTCAAAGTTGTAATGTTCATTCTTTTAAATGAATAAAAAAACAATTATCAAATTCGGTTTTCACAAGATATGAAGAATTATCAAGCCTCAGCTTTCGGTTAATAGCGACAAACGTCTGCTTGATAATTCTTCATATCATGTTCAACCTCATTCAATAATTATCAATTGTCGCATGATAGGTGACGATAGATAAGTTCATGAGATACGCACGGCACAGAACAAATTTTCGTCAAGTCGGTCGTTTTTGGATACATGGCAAAAACATACACACAAACTTTATAAAAGAATGTAGAATTTTTTCGTGTTATCTTTATGAATAAGAATTACTACATACTTGGCATGGGAATTGTCCATTGTCTTTGGCCACTCAACCTTGCCTGCTAATATTTTTTCATAGATTCCAAAAGGATTATCATCAAAGAAAGGTGGATACCTGTAAATAATAACAATTAAGTTTACATGAGCCCTGCTGGTACCTGATTTTCGCAGCAAGCATTAAAGCATTTTGTTATACAGGGTGAGTCAAAAAAAAGTGATACCTTTGAAATTCAAATTAGCCGCATAGCGGCTGTAATGTGACAGAAGTTGCCTAAAATATTTCATGGGTATACGAAGCATATCATATTAATTAACCTAAAACATAAAGTTTGTTCCCATTGGGAGTTAAAATGCATTCTAAGCTCTGTAAATACAAAAGAATAGTTTTATCAAATCGTTTTTGTTGATTGTACATGGGAATTGTCATATTCCAGTCATAAGTTCGCAGCTAATTTGAATTTCAAAGGTGTCACTTTTTTTTTACTCACCCTGTATAGGTGCTTTGTATTTTAAATGTGATTGGTTCATTCGTAGTCACATGATTTTAAATAAATGCAATGTTTCCCGCCAGGGAAACAAGTGAAAAATTGTTCCCCGCTTCATGTCATAACAAAGTAAAGTGGGTTTCTTTTTTAAATGAAATTGTTGTGTAACATGTATGTTTTCGTTCCTATATAACAAAACACTTAATCAGTTAATGTACACTATCTCGGGAAATAGTGTCGAGTCTCAATGTTGTCAGACTCTCGGGAAAACAAAACTCACTATTTCCCTCGGGAGCATACATTAAGTGTATAATATACCGGCCCTGATTAAAATCAGTATAAAAATGGGTTGATCGGGACTATTAATGAAATTTCAACAAATAATCCGAGCCTCAGCAAAAACCAAACTAACATTATGCTGGTTCATCATTCGGTCGCACCGTGCTTTCCGTACACGTCCAATACTGTCACATGCATCCACAAAACCAATTTTCGTTTCGTGACACCTATCACGATACCGATAGTAAAACGGTTTACAAACGGACCAACGTACGAATTACGAATGGAAATAACCCAGTTACCATTTGTAAATTAAAAACAGATGCGCTACAAAGTACACCGTTTTCTCTATACCACGCATGCACCAACCATACGAATGGAAACCTTCCATATAATATCGTATTTAATCAAAACACCGTAATCGCTGTACGCATAGCCCTGTAGAGTGTGCTATTGAAAATTATTTTTCAACACAAAAGACAAGGCTAACAAGCCATTGTAACCCCGATCCCTGAGGCCTAAAATCTATTATACAACATGAACTTTAGAATATTAAGTGGTTGTCTTTTTTGTACACCCTATAGTACCCAAGATATGCATATCAATACGTTAGAGTAATTATATATGTCACTTTAATTCTTGTTGAAATTATTCTGACTTTTATATCAACTGATATTTATTCAATTTAATCAAAATTAAATACTCACCCTATCAACATTTCATAAATTAATACTCCTAAGGCCCACCAATCAACTGCTTTGTTATGGCCTTTACTTTGAATTATTTCCGGCGCTAAATATTCTGGAGTGCCACATAACGTCCACGTTCTAATACAAAGTAAAATTGTTAGGTGGATAATATAACTGATAAGCCATACGCTGCATGGTACACAGTAAGGTCTATATCTGAAGACAGTAGATGTTAAGCATGTCAGAGTAAAATGATATAAATCGAGATCAAAATCACAAGAGTTTTGATTTCAGCAGCGCATTTTCATTCAGTGATATAGTTAGGTGATTGTCATTAATGTGGTTTTCAGATTCGAAAATAAAATAAATAAATGAATGAAAAGATGAAAAAAAAGTAAATAAATAAAACGAAATAACATTAGCGAGGTGAAGAATTCCAAACCCCCACAACCCCTCATGCGTGTGGACTGCGGCTCCCCTATTTCCAGCCTATATACCGTGAGAAAGCCTGACTGCTGATACTAAATATTAAAAATAGGTCCGTAAGCGTACACGTATCTGCACATTAGAGTTGAACTTGATCAAAAAATATTTGAAATTTTTATTCTATTTTATTTTATTTCGGTCATTAAATTACTTATTTTGCATAGTGCAACTGAAGGGCAGAAACAAAATACAAACATTTTTCTATAACATGAATGCCAACAAGTATCAAACGGTTTTTCGATATGCAATTGTGCTATTTGCTATGAAAATTTTGGATGTATAAAAGACTTCAGAATATAAGTGATAAATTACATGTTAAATTAAAATTGTAACCTCGATATATAATATTACGACGAAACTCGAAAGCGCGATAAATCTATTTCGTCGTGACAAGTACAATATCCAGGTTAAGCGGAATTTAACTTGATAAAATGACGTAGCTAATGCTTATAATTAGGAGCGGAGAAGAATCAGCCTGATCACCAAGTTGAAGGTCTACCGTGCAGTGGTGCTTACTACCCTTCTCTATGCTAGCGAGACCTGGACTGTCTACAGCAGACACGCCAAACAACTCAACCATTTCCTCACGAGTTGTCTCCGCAGACTCCTCCGTATCAGATGGCAAAACAAGATCCCTGACATGGAGGTCCTGGAACGGGCCGGTTTCCACAGCGTCCACACTCTCCTACAGAAAGCGCAGGCCAGATGGGCTGGTCATGTCGTCAGGATGCCAGCTGTGCCAGGACAAGCGCTCAGTGGGGGCGGGGGGGGGGGGCGGGCGGTGCAAAAGAAACGATTCAAGGACTACCTTAAAGTGTCATTTGAAGACATGAACATTGACCACAACACCTGGGAGACACTCGCCCTGGACCGCTCAACTTGGCGAAGCAACCTGACCACAGGAGCTCGTGCAGCAGAAACCAGACGCACGAGGCCCAGAGAAAACGTGCCGCACGCAAGGATAGAGCCTGTGCTACGCGACGCTTGTTTAGCACCGCTTTAACTAACCGGGGTAAAACCCTAAAATTGACCAGACAAACCTGTTTTTTCCCGGCGTTTCATGCCATGCCACTATACGTCATACGCCTTAACATTTCAACATTGAAATTCGCCTTTTAATAGCAGAATTTACTACGAGCATTAATGAATCATTCCATATTAATTGGTCAATTCCTTACGGCTTTGCATGAAATTCAAAATTTAGTTATTGTTTTGTTGTGATATGATAGTATATTTTGTTACTGTATCTGACCTTGGACTAGATTAAGAACAGTTTTAAGAACATGTTCTCGCGGGATCTGAACAAGGCAGCAAATTCATTCTTCGGGTGCACTATTTTGCATGTTTACCGATCCTCGTTTTTCAATTTGAGCAAATCGTTTGTAATACTGTGTATCTCTTCACCGTTTTAGTCTATAGTTCATTTAGGAAAATTTTAACTGGAGGATAGGGTTAAATTTTATAAGGTGGTATATAGCAAATTAAACGGTCATGTTAAAGGCGACCTAAAACGCTTTTCGTACAACCAGACCTTGGGCAGGGCTGTAGCTAGACAGCTTAATTAGGGAGCAACATATGACTATTTAGCTTAAGAGTAAATAAGGTGAATATCTACTACAAAGTTAAACTTTTTAAAAAGGTTATCACCATAAATAACACTTCAAAAGAATTATTTGCACAAAGAAATATTCAAGGAGCAAAATATACAACCTATATGATGATAATCCTGCACATGTACAAGCTTGTGTAGAGTACATTGTGCGCTTGAATGTACAAGGTTAAATGTTAAATGCGCCTAATAGAAGTTGTAAAAACTGTTAAATGCCATGTCTAACACAAGTTGTACAGATTGCGAGATCAGAGGTTGGTTAAAAAGCAGCCCTAATAAATGGTACATATGTAATATGGAATGAGCTGAAGCAGTCCTAATAAGCAGTACATATGGAATGAGCTGAAGAATAAAGCATGTGCCCAGCAATATATTTTATAGTGAATGCAGAAAAAGATAAAAACCGTATTCAGATCAAAACAGTTTTCCCAATAATGCATTTATGAGGAGACAGTGAAGAAGTTTTTATTCAGATTTTATTTATAACACAATTTTTATTAAAGGCTCAAAGACGCATACTGATACCCACAGCCCTTGGTTGAAACAATTTCACTTACTTGTCTAGAACTTCTTTGGCAAATCCAAAATCCGTAATTTTGACATGGCCATCAATATCAAGTAGCAGGTTTTCTGGTTTTAAATCCCGATAAACAATATTTACAGAATGCAAGTGTGCTAAAGCTGATACAATCTCCGCGCTATAAAATAGTCCAGTTGTATTGCTAAATTTGCCAGCAGTTCTCAAATATGTAAACAGCTCCCCACCACAAACATACTCGAATATCATGTAAAGAAATTTGCTATCATGATATGTCCACAACCTAAAAAATAAATTTCAAAGTGAATTTGCTGCCAAATGTCCAAGAATATAATCAGTATGATGCTGTGTTTTCATGGAATTTTGGACACTTCAAGAAACTTTCTGATAGATCTTGTCTTATGATTATGTTATATGATCAATCAATGTCAGATTTGGATTAAAATGTCTTGTGGGGGAGAAAGTTTTAGGGACAAAAAGCCCCTTTTGCCACAACATTCCTATAAGTAGAATGTTGATGAGCATCAAAGCATTTCTATACACCTATATTAAATTAGAGTATTTGAGCATGACCAATGAATTTTACTGGGGAAATTAATTCTGGTCTCAGGCAAATATGAAAAATCTATAAGTAAATGTACATGTTTGTAGCAGTACTAGATAATTAAAGCAAGTTCCAGAGATATTTATCATTGAAGGGCATGCCATCTCCAATGTCATAATGTCAGGTAATTTTACTTATAGCAGAAGATAATTGATTAGAAGTATACTGCATACATTGGGAAATTGATCATGTAAGTAGTTCTAAAGAGCAATTAGGCTAAAAACCAAAAATTTTCAAACACATTAGGGTTAAAGGGTCATTCTTTGAAAAGTGAAATTGCAAAATTGCAAGGCACTTTGGTGGAACTAGGGCATATTGACTCTTTATTGGTTCAAGGAATCAGATGATGTTGGAAAGAAGCTGTAAGGAATGAACCCAGCAACAACCTCTAATCAACATACATATGAATAATTCTACAAGGTAATAAATTACAAGTACAAAATAAGATGATAGGAGGGGTTCAGGAAAGATTAAATGAGACAGAAACAGGATTGAACTGTTTGTGTGCTCAGGGAAGGTACTTATTTAGGTTTGCCTTCAAAACCTAACCAACACATAACTGGTCACAGGGCTTCTCCTTAAACGTTTCCAGGTTTTTATTTATATGGTATACTGGTGATTGACCAATTTTCCAAAAGCAGAAAGATCCTTGACTTTCCATCACTAAATGGGAGCCCAGTAAATCAAGATAGCTTCCTCATATCATATTTATTTAAAACAAAATGAACAAAAAACAATGCATAGTCTTCTTATATGCAACCAAGCCAGTATGCAGCCAGACAAATTTTTTCCTTTGGATATGATAATGAGGCATATATTGGTAAAATTATAACATGGAGAGGTTATATAATTATTGACGGTTTTAAAAATGATAATATCAATGCTCTCATACATACAAACTACTTTGAATATATCAATTTCTGGTTAAATCATAGGTTAAACTCTATTAAATACAAAATGATCTTTGTGCATTTACCAAACATAACCGACACCATTGGGTGTATTTTTAAATTGAATTTCCTACAATTTACAAGCAGCAGAGTATATTTTTTCGTTTCGAATATTACAAGCAACATTTACATTGATTGGTAGGCACAATCGGTTATAATTGTAACTTCGCATTTTTTCGCATCGCAAAAAATAACTTGCAGGGTACCGTATTTCTGGCTAAATTAATAGTCAAATGCGTGATATTACAATATTAACATTAATCGACCACCAGAACGAAAGTCAAATAACTATATATACAAATCAACTTACAGATTTACTACAAAGGGGTTATCCACTTTGATAAGGATGCTCTTCTCGTTCTGCACGTGCTCGACTTGCTTTAGTCGTATAATATCGGCGACGCTCATGATTTTCAATGCAAAATATTCACCGGCCTTCTTCTCTTTTGCCAAGATGACACGACCAAACGTCCCCGTACCTGCCAAGCAAACATTGCACTCACGCTATGCTAACTTGAGTCACGAATGTGAAAATTTTATTAAAACTGAAAATCGTTTACACACAATGTTTGACCAACGGCTTAGCTTACGATTTTAAAAATAAAACGTTTACGGTACAATGTAAATACTACATACCAAGAGTTGTAGACAACTCGAAATCTCCGAGGCTGAAATCACGGTGTTTTGTTCGACCAGCACTGGTGCTGGCCATCGCACAATGCCTTCGTCCAATTCGGGGGCAAAAATCTTGCTCCACGGTGTCAACTAGAGATACCCCCAACCAAACATTTTTAATTCTCGCTTGTGTCGGCTAAACTACGACCCATTTGGCCACTATTGTACGTAAAATAACCCAAATTAACTGGACAAATATACACACAGACTTGTCGCTTAGCTTGAAATTCGCCCATGCGCACTCACGCGGAGAATAATATATAAAATATTGACTTGGAAATTAATATTTGTAAGAAAGCAGAACTGATCAATTCTAACCGGAAATTTAAATTCTATATCTAAAAGATGATTTGTCCGTTTAATCAGTTTGTCGTATGCCATGGTGAGCGAGAATATCATTATACTAGAAATATACATGTAACATGCGTGCAGCATTCCCCCCGACCCCTCGCCATTTTAAACGCAACAAAATAGTTCCTGAATTGAAGTTTATGAGTTCACGGCAACCAGGTATATAATCCATCGTAATTATCGCTACTCTGGTTTTAGTAAATGAAAGTAATCACCACACAAAGATTAACTTTCACGACCCAGTGAACTATATTGTGAACTATAGGTGTCTGGAGGTAAAGTCTCGCAAATTTTGGCAAATTTTTGGCATCATTCGCGCGTGACTCGCGAGACACTGCAGATGCAGAGCGAATTTGGTTCCTTTTGCTCATGGTAGTTACCACTGACATACCGCGATACAAGGTGAAAAACTGTGTCCGTCTCCCTCCTGGATTTTATGAAAATATTTTCAGCTTTCCGTATATATTTTTTCGTATTTCATTTTTGTTTCTTTTTTCTTCGGTTCAAAAATTAAAAATTGAACGAAGAAGTGGCTTCTTGCTCAAACGATGTGGGGAGAGTAATTTTTTCTCATTTAGCATTCAGGTAAGCCGTTTTTATAATAATTTCGGGATTTTTTGTCTTTGGACTACATATTTATCACTAGTCTGACTACCAAAGCTTCTGAGCAATTATTACAATGATTTAAATCCATCAAAACGTATCGTATAAACAGCAAATATACTATCGTATGGTACACGAGCTAATTACAGTGCAATGTAAGTTATGCAACTTCTTGTTCAGGTCCACATTTCATTTTATGGCATTCAGGCATTGGAGTGGATTCATGACACCTCATTTCAGTCATTTGAGAAGAGTGACTATTTTCTCTTGACTTGAGTGGGCAAAAAATTGTGGGAATTAAATTCTTGGCAGTATAAATCTTTCGAGTTTCATCTATGTTGTTTTTATGATATAGCAAGCATCTATGAAATAGGATTTGTGGAGTGTTTTTGTGCAAGCAGTAACTTACTTACATTTAATATGCCAATAGGTAAACCATTCCCCCAGTGAATCTATTAGTCTATTGATCCCATCCCATCATCATTAACATGATGATGTGATGATAACATATCATTAGTAATACACAAAGTAATACAATTTTGTGGCAAACAGTGTAAAATTGCAACCTCTGATAGTGGCTGTTAAAGCCTAGTTAATATATTATCTTTTTTGCCAATTTGTCATCCAATTATCATGGCTTACAATTAATTTCTTAGCCTCTTGCACCTTGTGAATATATCTCGATGAGATCTCTATTTTTATTTTTCAGGATGAGCATGCCATGAATAATAAAGCAAGAGATGACTTGTCATGCAAATTGCTGGAACATTGAACTGAGATGAATACAGCACATTATACATGTTGTGATGAATGTGCATTGTTATTCTTAATTACCATGTTAACTGATTTTCTTGTTCGCTTGTGTTTTTATAACAATTGTTATATTTATTGAAGAAATAAATATAAACATGCATTGACTGAGCAGTGTGTCTTCAAGCTCCAGCCACTTTAATAGTTTTCTGTTTATGGTATCAACCTCCAAGAGGGCCATGTTTATTCGTTAGGCTAATCAGGAATAATGGAGCGTATGGAGGGATAAATATTACTCATTACAATGACCAGGGGTCCATGGATGCAATTAAACAATACTAAAAACTTTTATAGCCCTTTGAGGCACAAGCTAATGATTTTGCATTTTGCCTGAGCTTTGCCTTCTGTTTCTTTGGCTTATGATTTATGCACAGGTATAAAGTCCTGAAGACATCTTCACATACTAATTGCATACTTTCTGTATTAAATTCTTCAGTTCATGGTTTTATTGGTTTAGAAAATCAAATTGATGCCCATAAATTCCCAGTTGTCCTCAAAATATCCTACGATAGCGCCAAAACTGAATTCAAAGTTCAAAAATTTATAAAACTTCATTGTGATATTGGAATGCATAAATAACAAAAATATAAATAAAATAAAGCAATAAACCCGAGAATAAACGTTTATATAAACCTGTCAGTTCGTGTAAGTATTAAAATCTTTAGTTTGTCCACATTTTTTCGACATTTTAATCTATATTTGTCCTCGCATTGCCAAAAAACAGCGTCTATGACTTGTATTCATTTTAAAATAAAAACTTTATTGGAGGCCAGGGTGAAAAATATATCAAAAAAACAAAAACTATTTCAAAAACAAAATTCGGCAAAAGAATTCATATAAACCGTTGTAGCGGGCTCAGAATTGAGCCTGGTCAGTGGTAAATACCATGGCCAAAAGGAACCAAGTGGCGTCAGCAGAGCTTCTGCGGTTGCGCAGAAGGGTGAAGTCCGCCCATTGAACTCAAAAGAACTGGAAGGCTACCTCAGTGCTACCTCCTGATTAAAATAGCCAAAATTATTGAAGCCAAATTTTACCTCCAGATACGCGTGTTTTACCTCCAGACACCAGGGGCGGATCTAGACCGGTGCATCCGATGCGAATGCATCGGTCAGATTTCTCAAACCTTCTGAAAATATAAAACTTTCAAACTATAGCGAAACTAAATGATAGGTGCGCCTAAATAGTTTTAAATAATATTTAAATCTTTTTCCGAGAAAAAATCGGCGAATAGCCTGCTTTTTAACAACGCCTACTCTTTGGGCAGTATAGCTGCCGCCGCACTGAGCTATATATAATTCCTGGAGGACCGGCTCCCTGCCAAATCGTGTCGCCAAAAACATGGCGGATTTTGAGCTTTGCTGACGCCACATGGTTCCTTTTGCTCATGGTGGTTACCACTGACATACCGCGATACAAGGTGAAAAACTGTGTCCATCTCCCTCCTGGCACAGATTAGCTATATACAGATATGAAACTTCTGTGTTTTTGCTGATTGTTTTGTGTCCCACGCGCAGCCAGTGCTTGATGACTTCCGGCGGCGAGCTTGGCAAGTGTCATGAGCAAATTTAATGAGTAAAACGCCGTTTTTAAGACGAAAAATTGCTTTTTTAAAAAATTCTCGCTACCTATGGCTATTTCTGGAATAAATTCTTAAAGAGTATCGGTAACTACATATTTTATAAACCAAAGGAGTATAATTGGAAATATTCCTTGTTAAAAAAGTGCATTTTAAAGTTTGGTTGAATGGATCGACATATTCTCGAACATACCTCATGGGAATCGCTCGACAAAAAGGTAGTGTACATTTATGATAAGTTACCCAAAAAGAAACGCTTCTATCGCCCTCGCTATAATTGAAGAAAGATTGAAACGACTGCAAATTTATGATATCATTGTAATATGATATCCTAGTGTAAATTATTATCTTCAATTAAGCATGCCTTGTACAGTTCTGCTCCTCCGCTGTGTTTTTCTCCTGTTTTCGCCAAAATCAAATAGATTCAGAAAACAGTTCTTAGCTCAGAAGACCCACTTTATCCATCTTTTCAAAAATTTTAAGTCAAATGGGACATCGCCCTAAAGGTTTTGTTTAAATCAGCATTTGTTTGTCAAAAATTCGATTTTTCTATCGATTTACTCATTAAATTTCAACATGACACTTGCCAAGCAAGTTACGCATGCGCACATCGGGCAAAAAACCGTGTGACTCGATTTGGCTTCAGTTTCATATCTGTATATAGGTAATCTGTGCTCCTGGTTTTTATGAAAATATTTTCAGCTTTCCGTATATATTTTTGTTTCTCATATAAAATGGATAAAGGTGTTTCTCTTTTTCCCTGTTCAACAAATGGAAAAAACACGTAGCTTCGTGCTCTGCGTCTGACGTTGTGAATGGCTTAATTCACTTATCGGGGGAATGATTTTTCTCATTCGGCTGTTATTTTATGGCATCCAGGTAAGCCGGTTTTTATAACAATTTCAGTTTTTTGCCTTTGGACTCGAATATAAACTGATTACTAAAGGTTCTGAGCCATATAAATCCATCAAAACTTATGGTACAAACAGCAAATATACTATTTTAGACCTTTGGTACATGTGCAATGTTATATACTCAAACAGTCAAACTTTATCATTTTTCTTGACTAGTGTGGAGAAGGAATTAAATTCCTGGCAATGTCAATCTTTAAGTTTGGTCTATTTTGTTTTCATGATAGCAGTGGCGTCGCTAGGGGGGGAACTGGGGGGGACCCGTCCCCCCCACTTATTCTAAAGACCACTTTTGGAATTTTTCTAAATCTGAAGAGAAAAAGGGGGGGGGGTACAATGATTCTAATCTCCAACAGCAGAGTAAATAAAGAAATTTTCGAATTAACATTACTTTTGATCATGTAAAGAATATCATTAGAATAACATAGTCAGCATATAGAAAGAGACTTGCAGATAAAATTGAGTTGGATGCTCTTGTTGATACATTTAGATTAGGCTGATTAGCTAACAACAAAAAGTTCCCCTTGTAAAAACTGTTTGTTTATAACAAAAATCTCCGATCTGTGGCTTTCGGATTGTCATAAAACTTTGCTGAAAATGCGGGAAATAGCGTTTTAGAGACCCTAGAAATAAAAATTTTCTCGGGGTGAATGCCCCCGAACCCTCCTAGAGGTCTTGCGCTTTGGTGCCTCGTCCCCCCCAGTCTGAGCGACCTGGCGACGCCACTGCATGATAGCAAACAATAATGTAAATAGGTAAACCTTTAACCTTCCCCCCAGTGAGTCTATTAGGATTTAAGCATTAACTAACATGATCTAATTGACAAAAGTGCTGAGTGGGTGCTGATACAAAGTAATAAGATTTTTGCTGCAAACAGTGTAAATTTCAACCTTTGATGATGGTGACTGTTAAAACCTAGTTAATATATTATCTTGTTTGCCTTGTCAAATTCAAATCAATTATCATGGCTTATATTAATTGATTTTTAACTTCTTGCAACTTGTGAAT